AGAGATAATTTTAAGGTGCCAATGAAATATCCAAAAGAAGGCATCCATTGTGCTGTTGGACATGTGTGTCTTGCAAGATCTAAATGAGAGGTAAAGAATTGGAGGGCCCGCCCGGTGGCGCACTGCTGCGGTGCGCCGCTTGTGAGTGTGGTGGCGCTCCCACTGAGGGTTCGGATCCCACATACAGACCGGCCGCTCACTGGCTGAGTGAGGTGCGGGCGCAGCACCGAGGGTTGCGATCCCCTAGCCGGTCCCCGTCCGGTGCGGGCGCAACACTGAGGGTTGCGATCCGTTGCCGGTCATGAAAAAAGACAAAAAAAAAACAAAAAACAAAACAAGAATTGGAATACGTCAATGAATAGCTATTAATTGAGAACTTAGGAGTTGATAGCACAGATCAGGAAAAGTGTGGAGAGAAGAAAAGGGGGCTTCAGGCATGTTTTTGAGAAATACCAGTATGTAAGCGACGTAGAATAAGAAGAACAGGCAAAGGATGAGATAAGATGCCAGTGAAATTGAGGAAAAATGCANACAGAAAGGGTATTCCTGAAAGAAAACAATAACATATGAAAAGAGATGATGCTTGAGAAATTATACCTGTTTAGAACTCCAAATAGATTAGTTAGTCTAGAATATAGGGTGTACCTGGGCGTAGAATAGCAGGAGATAAAACTGAAGAGAAAGTTGACTTTGAAATTGCTCAATCTTATGTGTTATGCCAAAGGAGATTTATTTTAACCTAAAGTCTTTTAAAATTATTTGTAAAAATAATGTCATATTTCTACCTTAGAAAGGTTATTATGGTTTCAGAGGATAGGATGAAATGACAGGGTAGAGCTGAAATCTTTAGATTTGTCAGGGCCCAATAGCAGAAGTGACAAGAGACAGTGGCAACTGAAGGAAGAAAGTGATTCTAAAGAGTACATGTAAAGAGTTTTATGAAGATTCAAAGGTTTGTTCAATGATACTAAATTGTGAAAATCATGGCATTTTTCAACCCTTTTAAGGCTTGAATCAGAAAGAAGAACCTGCATCCCATTTGCATTTTCATACTAAAATAACCATTATACATATTTATCCAAATGATCGAATATTTATAGTATTAACAAAATAGCACACAGAGAAATACAATTTCCCTCCAACACACATATACACAAGGGACACACAGATTTCTCTTTAGATTGTTTTAACAGCAGTGGAGCAAGTACTTGCCATTTTGAAAGCATCTGGGGATCTGCTTTCTCAGGGTACTGCCTGTCCTGGAAGATCTGAGCCTGCAGGGACTGTCCACCTCAGCATTTGGGACTACAGAACCTCAGGAGCTAGACCCCTGGGAAGTGCCTCACTGCAATCCACAACTCGCTGACTGGGTTCCTGTCTACTCATATGGTTCCTCAAGGACTTGCAAGCTCTGAGCACTCTCTGAAGGTTCAGGAAGAGAAATAAGAGTGGCCACATGAGAGTGCCCTGGGTCCCCATCAAGGGCCTGGGGTCTGGTGAGTGTTGGTTGTTGGACAAGACAGATAGGATCGGAAAGCCAGGAACAGGTTCAGGTTCTGGATGAGGCTAACTGGAGGGTATAATGAGATCAAGGCTAAGAGAAGGCAGGGTGGGCTCAGTCTAGTTTTCACCATGAAACAGGGCCTACAGGCCTGGGAACCAGATTTTAAACAGTCTTGGGGTTTTGTTTTCCTTATGCAGTAATACATATTTAATGAATTAAAATGCATTTTCTGCGACAATAAAAAATGAGAATATTCTTATTGTTTGGACTTATTAATAATATTCAATTCAGGAATATTACTGAGCAGGTTTTAAGTGTCACCATTGTGTAGATATTGAGGGTATCATTGAAAACAAAAGAAAAATTGACATGATCATTGCCTTTACAAAGATTGTGGTGTAGCAGGTAAAATACGTATTAAACAAATAGTTTTAAGTATGATAAATTTCAGAAAAGAGGAAATAAAACTTTATCATATAGAGAGATTGGGAAACTGTTTGCAGAGAAGTAATGTTTAAGCTGAATGAAAGGGGCTTAGCTGAGACTTAAATAATAAGAATTTAGCCTTGCTTGAAGGTAGGAGAAAGGTTGAGAATAATCTAAATCAAGGTGGAACTATGTGCGTAGTCTCATAGTCAGGAGACTTTGGGCAATGAAGGAACACATGTTATCTCACCTTTATTTGGAATAGCACAGATTATCTGTTCAGATTTTTAATTCTCTCCAACCATTGCTAAGAGAGATGCAATACTCAATGCAGAATAACTAAATGCATCTGTACCATTTCAGAATGATTTGCGGTATGATAGTTCAATCTCAAGGAAAGGCAGTAACCTTATTCTTTTTCATCACCTGGGTTTCCACTACCTCTGGCCTTATTTCTGTTTGTTGTCAGAGAAAAGATATGAATCTCTGTCAATACTTAAGTCAAAACTTAAGAGGAAATAATTAGATAATATAGTTAGAGCCCTGCAAATAAAGTGATGGGGTTTACCATGATCTTTTATGTGGAAATTGCTTTTAACATATGTATTTTTAGAAAATGCAGATGTTTTCTGGTAAACAATCTCGGAAGGTGTTAAAAGCTTGAAAAGGTAGCAAGACCAGATTTAAAAGGCCTTGTTAGCTGTGTTAAGAAGTTTTGTTTGTTTGTTTGTTTCCAATTTTAAAAAGGATTGGACCAATATAGTTTATTGCAGTTGAGTTGTTTAATGAAAGGTAGATATAAATAATAAATTTCAAGTTTCTATTTTGTGTCATTTAGTGGATGATGCTGATATTCTCTGAAATATTGGACAGAGTAAGGGGAAGCAGGTTTGTGAGGAAATATGATGAGTATTAGTTTTAATTTTTAAAAAGAGATAATTTTAAGGTGCCAATGAGATATCCAAAAGAGGGCATCCATTGTGCTGTTGGACACGTGTGTCTTGCAAGATCTAAATGAGAGGTAAAGAATTGGAATACGTCAATGAATAGCTATTAATTGGGACTTAGGAGTTGATAACACAGATCAGGAAAAGTGTGGAGAGAAGAAAAGGGAGCTTCAGGCATGTTTTTGAGAAATACCAGGATGTAAGTGACATAGAATAAGAAGAACAGGCAAAGGATGAGATAAGATGCCAGTGAAATTGAGGAAAAATGCAGAGTATTGCAAAACAACATTAAGGTAAGAGAATGCATTGAGATAGAGAGGGATGATCAGTAGTGTCAAGTGCTGCTGAGAAGTCACACAAGGACTGAAAGGTGGGATACGGACATCACTGGTGATGGAGTGAGAGATGCTTCAGTACAAAGGAGAGGACAGAGATGAGAACAGGGTTAAAAGATAAACAGATGAGAAAATAGAGGTTAGTAGTGTAGCAACTACATATTTAGCTATGAATGAGAGAATGTAATTATATCTTCATTATTTAGACTGAAAGGTATTTGAGCACATTTAAACTGTTTAAATGCTCAGGATATGCAGGGTGCCATTGGAAGTGTGTGAGCAGAATTCTTAAAAGGCTAGGTTGAAGACAAAGGAGAGAAAAAAATGAATGATAATGAAAGATACCTGACCAGGTAGGAAGACTCAAGATAGACCATAGACCATATGGGTTTGTTTTTGGCCCCAGTTACGAAAGGCATTTTTTTTTTCCAATTATAAAAAGAACAAGGGTAGAGAATACACACACACACACACACACACACACACACACACACACACACACGTATATGCTATTTGCCATATAGTTTGTTGTCCATATAGAATTTTGGTTATGTACATGGGAGTCTAGAAAAAGACTTCTTGGGTTTGATTCTCAGCTCTACAATTTTCTTGTTGTGTGGCTTCTGATAAGTTACTTCTCTCTGCTTCAGTTTCTGCATCTTTAAAATGTGAGTAATATTATTAACCACCTCATAAAATTGTTAAGAGAATTACAAAAGTTATTTCATGTAAAGGCTTTTAGACTTAAGCAGTATATTGAAGGTTTTCAAAAAAAATAGCTCTTTTTATAAAATTTACTTATCTGCTTTTATCTTGACTTAGGATTTAGAATATGTAAATTCTATTTTTCTTCCACTAGAGGTCTCCTCTGTATTTGCTAAAAGCATACTTTAACCAATATTCTCTAATTCTTAAACAAGATTTCCTCATTAATTCCTAAGGTATATCCTTTTTCATATCATTCTCTATGGTGGAACATCAAACATCACATCTCGGAGAACTTTCTAGTCTGCAAGTCCTGAGGCTCTATTTATAGAGCCATGGATATCAGGACAGCTGTTGAAATTGGGGTAGGGTTGGTGTACCAGACAAATCACAGTTCCAGTGACCCATTTCCTTTCATCCTTCTCTACACCTCCATGCCTCTTCTGAATTCTTGCCATTTCACAGTGCATTGAGGCAGTCACCTGGCGGGGACAGCAGCATGACTGAGTATTGGCTGTGGAATCTAATGATCTTGGTTCTGCCAGTTACTAAAGGTGAGATCTTAGGTAAGATTACTTCTCAGAATTTCAGTTTCTGTAAAAAAAATGAGGGGAATAAAAACACATATCTCAGAAGATTGTTTGAAACACAATAATACTGAATAAAAACCTGGTGCATAGTATAAGTCTGTAATTGTTAATTATCTCATTTTCCCAATTGTGACCCACTTTTCTTAGTTTCTATCTTTGTATGCAGATAGAGTACTTTTCTGTATTTTCACATCTATACAGCAATAAATGACATTGACTCAGGGAGAAATCAGTCATTAAAATGGGGATTTTATTCAGTTTGGAGAAGACTCCAGAGTAATTGGCTGATTAGTAGCAGTACTGGGTCTGAGAAAACTTTATTTTCCTAGGTGATAATCATTGCTCTTAATAAACTGGGAGGTTCTTTCTTGGAATATAGGAAAAAGGAAAGCCAGCCCTAAGGGTAGGATGGAAAAAGAATTACCATACAATTTTCTCATGTTCATTATATGCAATTTGTTTTTAGGATACAGAAGCTACTCATCAGATCTCAATGGCCATGTACAACTTGAGTAGCTACAACACAGAACACTTTACTCTTTTGGGCATCCCTGGATTGGAGAAGTACCATGTCTGGATCAGCATCCCCTTCTGCTTTATCTATCTTGTGGCCATTGTGGGTAATAGTACTCTTCTCTACCTCATTGTGGTGGAGCACAGTTTTCATGCTCCCATGTTCTTTTTCCTTTCTATGCTGGCAATCACTGACCTCATGTTGTCTACCACATGCATCCCCAAAACTCTTACCATCTTCTGGTTTGGTCCGCAGAGAATCAGTTTTCCTGGCTGTCTCACCCAATTATTCTTTCTGCACTACAGCTTTGTCCTGGACTCAGCCATCCTCCTAGCCATGGCATTTGACCGCTACGTGGCCATCTGCTTACCCTTGAGATACACCACTATTCTGACCCCCAAAACTATTGTCAATATTGCTGCATTAATCTCTTTCCGAAGTTTCTGTGTTTTTGTCCCATGTGTTTTCCTTGTGAATCGTCTACCTTTCTGCAGGACACATATCATCCCTCATACATACTGTGAGCACATAGGTGTTGCCCGGCTGGCCTGTGCTGACATCTCCATCAATATCTGGTATGGTTTTTGTGTCCCCATCATGACAGTGATTACAGATGTGATCCTAATTGCTGTCTCCTATATCCTCATCCTCTATGCTGTATTCTGCTTCCCATCCCGAGGAGCCCGCCAGAAAGCCCTTGGCACCTGTGGTTCCCATGTCTGTGTCATCCTCATGTTTTACACACCAGCATTCTTCTCCATTCTCGCCCATCACTTTGGGCATAATGTCTCTCGTACCTTTCACATTATGTTAGCTAACCTCTATGTAATCATCCCACCTGCACTCAACCCTATTGTCTATGGAGTAAAGACCAAGCAGATCCAGGACAAAGTCATTCTTCTACTCTTTCCCAAGGGCCCCAATGATATAGGCCTGAAATCTGGGAGGTGGGGATAAGGTTTTAGCATATGTTAGGTTTAAGACTGAACCTGTATCCAGTGGCCTCAGAGAAAGAAAAGATGAAATAAGTCCTTATTATCCAGAACTGGGTTTTGCTTTCTTTGCTACTTTAGACAGAAGTCTACTCAGCCCAGCCAAAAGATACTGAGTATTTCAGGCACACAAGCTGTGGACAAGAGGCAGTCAGTCATAGCCAGCATGTAGAGAAAGAAGAACATGGGCTCATGAAGTCTATGCTCCACCGCAATGAGGTAGAGAAGGATGCAGTTTCCCACAACAGCCATGAGGTAGACGATATAGAAGGGAATCATGATCCACCTATGGAATTGCTCCAGACCTGGGATGCCCACCAGAAAGAAGGATCCTGGGTAGTAACTGCTCAGGTTGAAAAGAACCAAGACAGATGAGGATGGCACAAGTCCCAGGTCCTGCAGACAGAGGGTGATAAAGGATAGTTAGAGTCACTTGAGTCACTCTTACTTCCAACCAATCATTAGTATTGACTCCTAAAGATGGAGTCATGTAGAAGCCACGTAGCTTCTCATCTAAAGTGGGACTCATTTGAAAAGAAAATAGTTGAGATTAACAATGGTGGGAGCAGCCTGCATAAGCCAGCATTGTCCCAGACACATCAAGGTGTACAGTTATTCTACCCAAACATCACTTCTTTCTTTGGCCACACCCATTAGTTTATGCAAGTTCTCCAGGAAGCCTTCTAGACTAGTTACCAAAGTACAGGATAAATTTTCTCATGGGTTAGTAGATTAGAGTGTATATGACTTAAAGGACATCATTGATTGAGATCTGCTGGCTCTGTCATTGTGGCATATTGATCTCTGCCCCAAGACAGCTACTCATTCCCTTCAAGGCTACCTGACAACAATGGTTCTTAGATTTGTGAGGTCAACACCCCTTTATGCCATCTGAAAACCTAATTCAGTTCAGCAAACACTAGCTGAGTTCCTATGCTGTGATAAATAACATGTGGAACTCAAATTTGAATTTAAAAAGTCCCCTATATCTGAGGATTGTGAGCCATTTCTCTTCCAAAAAAGTAGTTTTCCTGCACCTTATACACCATACAAGTGTGTAATATCTTAATAATTTGCACTTAGTAACATTATCGGTCAAGATTTCTGTTCAAAAGAAGGACTGTTTCTTTGTGAACACACATTCTATTAGATAAACACATAGACCCCAAACGTACTCTCTCAAACACAAAAACTTACTGCTTACATTCTCAGGCACTCCGTGATTTATACTTATATTCTCTCCTACATTTTGCCAACATATGTTTATATGATGTCCCACATATAATCTTAACACAGTTATAAACTCTTCCCCCTTCTCTCCCTCTCTCTCCCTCTCTCCTCTCTCTCTCTCTCTCTCTCTCTCTCTCTCTCACACACACACACACACACACACACACACACACATGCACACAAAAGAGACTATAAACAAAATATTTTATGGTTGGTTTTTGTCAGGTCCACAGGCTTTATAAATTTTTATTTTTTATTTATTTATTTATTTATTTTTTAATTTTTATTTTGTCAATATACAATGTATATGATTATTATGGCCCATCACCGACACCTCCCTCCCACCTCCCTCTCTCCCCTCCCCCCCAACCAAAACATATTCTTTAGTGCACTGCCTAGAATATAGTAAGCATACAACCAGTTTTACCTTTTAAAATTAGATTCTATATTATATCATTAGTATTATCATCAGCAGTCAGACCACACATTGAAGAAGACAATAGAAATAGACAGACACATAAAATCTAGCAAGAGCATCACTGGGCATACTTACATATCGACACACTTAATTCTACTCTTCAGGTTAGGGTTATGGGTTCTTGTCACATGTCTGACACAGAAATCTCTGAAAAATAATAATCATGCCATATTTAGCCCAGTTGGATGAATGAACCTGTTCTAATCTTTTGGTGCCCATTCAACAGAGCTTATCAGCAAGTACTGGAGACTGTGACCTCAGTTTATAAATGGGAGTTGATCATGCAAGAAAGTGATAGTGCTCAGTCCATGGCTCCTGGAAATGCAGCCCTGGACTTTCATTCACTCCTTCTCTCTCTCCAAACTCTACTCCCAATAAAACCTCTCCAGACATCCAACACTCACCTAGTCTTGGGTCTAAGGCAAAAGGGAAAGAAGAAAAATTGTGCTGACAGACACACAGAAAATCTGCCAGAGGGGCAGGCAAACCAAACACAGAAATGAGGAGAGGGGAAAGACTGGTAGAGAAGATGATTTCTTGACTATTTATTTTCTCTGTTCATTGCTCAATGTGGGGAAGAGCTAGGTAGTTTGGCTTTAGGGACCCTGACGCCCTCTCTTCTGATTGTCAAGGGAAGAAAATAAAGAAATTTCTCTTAACCCTGACCATGCCTTTGAGTTAACACCATTTCACGTGCTTTTTGTTTGTTTGTTTGCATCTGCATGTGAGCTGATCAGTGCATGTGGGTCAAAGGCTCTGTGCACATGCACACACCTATCATATCACCTAGGTTTCAAGCTCATGCCTTCACTTACCAGATAAAGAACTTTGTATAAATTACTTAATCACCATAAGGAGGTGACAATGTGAGTACCTACCTCTCAAGATCATGTAAGAATTGCCAAATTAAGTAGGGCAGTGCTTGTGAAAGTGCTTCATATAGTGGCAAAAGTAATATAGCATGATAATTTAGGGCACTTGTTATAATTATGATTGTGTGACCTATTTCAAAGTATTCTAATACTACCATTTAGAGTGGGGGTCCCAGAATCTCTTAGCTCTGCAGTGGATGTGTATGTCTTATATATATATATATATATATATATTTCTGGAGAATCAATATATAAGTGGATGTGAGCAGAAAAACGGGAAAGCAGGAAAGCCGGTTAGAACTATTGCTATGGGGTGAGATGTGGAACAAACCCTGGACTCTATTTCTTTTGAAGGACTATCTGAGGATGTTCCCGTTGGGCACAAATGGCTATGTCTTTGAAACATCTTTAGCTGTATATCCCACTTCAGCTTCAAAACCACCATGTCCCAAACTGCATCCATTATCCTCCGAAACCTGCTCCTCCTTCAGTGCCCCTAAACTCAGTAAATGTCACCTCACTACATATATGGATTTGTTTTGGCCAAACTATACTGCCGTTCACTCTTAAACATCTCCCGAATCAATTCTTTCTCTCTTTCCATTGCCCGGCTATCATCTGTTGCCTAAATTAGTCTAATAACTTCTTAAAAGATCATCTTTTGTCCATTTTTATCTCCCTCACTGTATTTTGCACACTGCAGACAGACTGTTCTTTCCAGAGTGTACATCTGATTAGGTCATTTCTTAGCTTAAATCTCATTTTGTTTCCATCTTGGGGGTTTGACACTTGCTGTTTTCGTCTGTCCTTATCTATCTTTATTTTGATCTTTGTGTGACTGCTACATTTTCATTATTAGGGACTCAAGTTAAAACTTCATTATAAATTTGTCATTAGTAAAAACAAATAAATAAAATTTATTTCTATGGAAAGAATGTTAGAGCTGCTTATTGGTACTGTCAGGTATATCTGGAGGCCCTGAACCCTAGGAGGTATTTATCCTGCAATTCTAACAGCCAAGTCAGTTTCTCTGAGTTTGATAAGTCCAGTCTCTCTTTGTTCTATCTATAAAGATATTCAACAATCACCCATAATGATAGGCTCCAAAATTACTGATTTGTTTGTCTTTCTGCCAACCATAGGCATGATTCCTTCTGGTTAAACACAAAATACAAATAATTTCATTTTCAATGGCTGTCTTTTTATACCTGTATTTCAAGACTATTTATTTATTGAAAATGTGGAATTTTCTTGGGCCATTGTTTTATAGAAAGAATGAGTAGGCTAAAGACATGGAAATTTTTAATTCTTACCTTTAGTGTACTCTCTGTTCTCTCATGGAGAAATCTGTCTTTGACTGTTGATTCTTTATAAAGAAGCCGATTCTGGGTAAGATGCATACATGAATACGTGGTGTACATATAAGTTTATATAGAATTTAGAGCTTAATCTTGTCATAAAAATGTAGGGAAATAAAAATATTTTTGTGGTAAATCAGTTAATGATTTTCAGTGGACTAAAGTAGCCTTCAGTGGCTGCCCTCTTTATTTATAATTCATACCTTAAAATGTTGAACTATGACCTCTACCCTTTACCCTTACTTAAGTAGCAACAGCAATCAACTAGTATTTAAAAAAGAAATCATTTGACACACTTACTAATGACACCTAAGTCCAATACTTTCTGTCCTTTTTGGTTTCCGGGACATGTTCTTTATTTACCAATTAAAATCTGTTGATCTAATGGTATAATGTTTAATTAGACTGAAGGGTAAGTTTTTGCGATCAATTGAACTGCATGTTGATCACAGTAAGTAATAATGTATTGTAGATTTCAAAATTGCTAAAAGAATATATTTTTGATTTTCTCTTCACAAGAAAAATAATAACATCGTGAGGTGATAGATACAAGGAATCTTCAAAAAGTTCATGGAAGGATTCACAGTATCGTCTAATTTTTTTTCAGTGAACCTTTTAATATATCATCGTATGTTAACTAGTGTGATTTAATATTTCCACAATATATACATATATCAAAACATCACATCGTACCCCATAAATGTACACAATTATTGTTAATTAAAAATAAATTTTAAAAATGTTAGAAAAATATAATTTTATTTAAAAAACAAACATGGCTTGGTGGGATTGTAAAATGCTGTACCTGCAATAGAAACCAGTATGAACATTTCTAAAAAAATAAAAACAGAACTACCATATGGCTCAGAAATCCTACTTTGGGGTATAAATACAACAAAACTGAAAACAGAATCTCGTAGAGATATTTGCATACTCATGTTCATTGCAGCATTATTCTCAGTAGCCAAGAGATAGAAGCAGTCTAAGTGTTCACTGACTGACAAGTGGATAAAGAAAATGTAATATA